TCCATACTTGTACCAAAAATACAGTGTGGAATCAAGCTGTAAATCAAAAAAAAAAATAAGTGATGTGGTAAACACGCTCCACTAACCACTTCACTCCCTATTTTTAAACTAGGAGTCAGTGTAGCCCAGTCCTGTAACATCATCTTACATTTGGCGGGAGTGAATCGCATGACAAACATTCGTAGATTGCAACTGGAGGTGTCTAGAAGACTCTGCTGGATTTTGTCAGCGTCCTCGCCTAGAAGGACTATATCGTCTGCATATTCTAAGTCAATGAGATTACTCCCTGGTAGCAAGTCAATCCCAGGGTGGTTTCCATGAGACAGCTGAATATTAACCCATCATAAGTCTTACCGGCAGTTTGTAGTAGACACTGCTTTCACAGGATCTATACACTAGAAGTCAATTATCAGGTTAATCGACAATAAAAAGCGCCTATCTATCAAATGCAGTCGTATTTTGGAAATTTCACAACGTATTATCATTAGTGTTTTGGAATGGAGCGAATCATTTTTGTTATTATTATTATTATTATCGCACAAGATATAAAGATGGATTGAACAATTTTGGTGCTGGGATGTACCTACTTTATGGTCTTAAGGTACCCTACTCTGGCAATTGACAGATAGCTTAAAGGTCCCTGTGTCCCGGATTTGGATTCAGTGTACAGAACAGTTTAGGGAAGTCTTTCTGAATGTGCATAGACTTCATATTCCCACTGTCAACGCCCACAAACTAACAAAGTGTGTAATGATAGACTGAAAACTCCTACTCTGTCCCATCCAACAAATACGGACTTTTATATTTTGATTGGACACTAGTAACTAGTGTGATGTGTCTTGTCATTTCTTTGATGCAGACTGAATTCTATCAGTCAGGTTTTGCAGGTTTACGAGTTCGAATCTCAGAAGGGACATGAGTTCCTTCAGGGTTGCAGATACGCCTCGCTGATGAGTGCCAACTAGCCCGAAACCTGCAAGGTCCAAGGCTTCCTGACGATTTCCCACAACTATCTAATATCATCAAACGCAATTTGAATGGTTATTAGGCAATCATATAGCGTCGGTGGTTCAGCAGTAGAACGCTCGCCAACCATGCACATGGTCTGGTGTTCGATTCCTGGCCACTGACACACTCCTTTACCTTGCTAAGCCTGTAGTATAGCCAGTATAGAGGAAAGGTTGGACGTGAGTTGAACCACTGCTACCGAAACTTCAAAGCTGTAGCTGGAAGCCCCATGTTCCACTCAGAACTTAAAGGAATAAAAAAGGGAAATCATACAATACTTCACATTACTTCAACCTGCCGTCATACTTCTGGATTCTTTACACTTTTATCATTCTGATTCCAAATGCAATAAATTTCATGTCTCATTGTAGGACTCTGTCGATTAATTAGTTTGATATTGTAATTCCTTAATGAGCACCGCTTAGATGAGTAATTTAAACAATCCTGGATTTCAACTCAATTGAATAATCTTAGTTAACACACCTAGGTGACACACAACAGTGAACCAGCAATAGGCCACACTTCTGAAAGACAGGTGACTATTAACCCATCATAAATCTTCCCGACAGGCTGTATTAGACAATACTATTCGGGAATGTTTACATTACAAGTGAGTTAACGGGTTAATCAACAATGAAAAAAGCACCTATTTATCGAATGTAGCAGTAGTATGTGAAAGACCACAATGTAAAGACGAGGTAGCAGCTGTGGAAGCGCGTGGAGTTCTGACCCTTTGAATACCGACCATGGCATTTACTATCATCTAGCTACCCGCTTTGATATACAATCATCAACTAAGAGCAAATCCACCCTCACAAATAATGAACAGTTCTTTCTAACCCACCACCACCACCACCACAGAGCTGTTTCATAAATCAAACCGATTACTTCACCCTCCCCTCTGAGTATGTATCTCTCCATACTGTAAACTGAAGTGAATATGACTCATATAAGCTAATCTAGATATGTGGATGATACTTTTGTAGTACTAAAACGAGATCTACACAATTCATTCCTGGAGAAAATAAACTGTGTATCTCCCAAAATCCAGTTCACTTCGGCAGCAGAATCAGACATCGGTGAACTACCATTTCTAGACTGCCTAGTTAAGAGAAAAGAAAACGGACATTTTAGTATATCCATATTCAGGAAGAAAACCCACTCCAATAAATATTTAGACTTCAAATCCTCACACCGCATCAGTGCAGAGACTTCAGTTGTTTCAAGTCTTCTTAGACGAGCACACTCTCTGATAACGGATGAGAAAGAACAAGAAGAAGAAATATCAAATATTACTGAAACTCTCAAGCAAAACAACTACCCAAAGGACTTCATCAACAAAATCAACACAGACATTAAGTATGGCCGAAAACGCATTCTGAAAACATGGACATCAACAGTCGTCATTCCATATAGAGCAGAGACGTCAGACGATATCAGAAGAGTACTCACAATCAGCTCGACATTAGAGTTTTCTTCAAAACATCAGACACACTTCAGAGCAACCTTGTTCATATAAAAGACCAAATCCCGAAGGATTCTCTATCTAATTGTGTCTATAAAACAAAATGCTTGCTTGGAATGTAATGCGATCTATATCGGACAAAGATCTCGAGAAATCAAGGTACTCAGAAGAAATGAACACCGTAGAACATCTGTTCGGTCACCAAGAAATCTAGTTGAGCTAGAAGTGCTTGAAAAATCATCAGCAATAGATCTGTCTAGACGCTATAGAATCAGGCCACAAAATTGATTTTGACAATATTGAAATAATCCAGAAAAAATTTCAGAAATCACAAAAAGCGTCTAATACCATCAGAAGCACTTCATATCAAGTGGAATCCAAATTGCCTAAATAGGAATGATGGACTAAAACAGAATTTGACCTGGTGACAACACATCCCTCCCCATGAAGTGACAAAATCCAACACGAATATGATAAGCAAGTTCACTATGCAAACACACACTACTTTTATAATGTCACACACAGATCAAACCCAACAATATACACTTGGTTTTGTTATCTCTACCAGTTGACCAACTTGACAATTGAAAATGACCCCAGACTAACGAAGGATGATTAAGTTAGTAAACTTTGTTTTGTTATCATAACAGATGTACCGTTACCTTTGTTATTTGGTTTAGTGATTGATCTTCATTGTTATTTTGACTTTCAATATATTTTTTTAACTTGACCTAAGTCTTTTATCACCCCTAAACTCTTTGTTATATATAAGCTGAGTGGATTTTGTAAATTCCAGTTTAATAATATTTTGATAAAGCTATTAGCAGTACCATTAAATAGCGAAACGTCAGTAAGAGCAACAATGTCGTTTTGTTTTTCATTCATTCATTGGGAAATACAAAAAAAACCTTTATTATAATGGATGTCATTTACCCAATGCCCAAATTTTTTCAAACCGTTTATAGTGAACTTGGTTTGGACATATATAAATATGCTAATGGTACGGACACCGAAGTTTACAATTTTTGTTCCAACAATGTTGCAGTAAGACATAAATACACCTAAGTGATTAGACCTATATGGAATGAAACCCACATCGCCTATATCGCTATTACCCACCATTTAGCGAATAATGCTAAATTGTCTTCGCTGGCCCTATACTGAAGGTCAGATGGCCGGGCCGGAAAGAATCGCCAACAAGAAACTATGGCTGGGAACAAACAAACAAAACAACAACTAATCGCCAACCAACAAATATTCAGGAGAAAGTGGAGATGGATTGGACACTTGCTGAGTGAGGAGGCGGCTGGTTGACATCGCGCGAGCGTCAGGCCATTTCTCCAGTGGAACCAGGCCGAAAGGGAAGCATGCGGCGAGTGGGACGTCAGTGCCAGGGTGACATGGGGGAGATCGTGTGAAGAGAGTGGAGTTGGAAGAGTATGGACTAACATGGATGGATGCAGGTGAAAAGTACAGCAGAAGGAAGACAGAATTGGCAAGTGGAGACGTGCAGTTGAAGTCCTATGTTCCACTAGGAACCCAACAGAACAATAATAACAAAAATAATGTGGAATGGGTAATAACTAAGGTTCAGCAGTTATTGTCCAATAACCTATAGACTAGCATACGTCGAAACTCCATTCTACAGATTCAGAAGGATATGCTATATAGAGAATTTGGAAAACAGTGTCCAGTGTTGGAAATTCAGTTACAATTACTGAAGATGTGAAGATAAAAGACGCAAAACTAATCACAGTGGTGATGGAACCTGAATTCAACACACAACTTGATATTACAGGTGATGATATTTGAGTAGTCGACTGATGATGAAGAAGTTCCTTAACTAGGAGCTATTCCGCAGCCAGTTAAGTATCGGCGTATAGAACAACGTGATGTTTGGTTCAGTCAAAGGTTGACTAGTATCCTTTCTCAGGTTAACCCTAATTGTGTGTATTGATTTACGTATATCGGAGGTAGCAGTTGCATAAGGGAAGATACCTTAGATTCTTGCATTACCTGGGAACAAATGGTTTCAAGCGCTATCATGAGGCAGCTTGTTATTACTGGTTATTCTATGGATATCCTGAAATCCTTTAAGATAATCAGGAAATAGATCTTCAAAGTTCTCCAAACCATTCGCTATCAGTTCTTCTCCCTTCCCTTTAGCCCCCAACACCACAGAGCTGTTTCATAAATCAAACCGATTGCTTCACACCAACACCCCTACCCAGTATGTATCTGTCCATACTGTGTAAACTGAAGTGAATCGGACACAACTAAAAGATAATCTATGAACGCTTTATTAACACAGTAGTATAAATATCATAACGAAATATAATAATAATAATAATAACAATAATAGGAATAACAATAATAATAGTAATCGTATAAAGGCAACAATAGGAAAATAATATAAAACCAAATGAATAATAATAAGTCATTATTAATATTTTAATTATTAACTATTATCATGTTAGTACAACATAATCTAAAAGTCTTATATTCTTCTCAGAAACGAACTAAATATAAGGGATGAGAACGTGAAAAAATAATGAATAAAAATATTAATAGTAATAAAAATAGCAATAACAATAATAATAATAATAATAATAATATAAAACTCTGAATTCCTCTAAAACTTAATCAAAGGGATGAATACCTTTGGAAACACATACATAATAATAACATTAATAATAATAATCATGATAAACGTCAAAGGGATTAGAAAACGAACATTTCATGATATTCTTCAATTGACTATTCCTTCAACCTGATACGAATCTCTCCAAAAGCTACATTTTGTGTCATAGTGATTCGGCGCTTTTTGGACAGTTCTGAAAAGATAACAAAAAAAGACAATATTAAGGAGAGATTTGGTGAGTTGCAGGAATCCTACTCAACACAATTCGCTAACATAAACTCATAAATGAAAACAGAACATGCGATTCAGCTAGGTGGCTGTTTTCAGTGAATTCATTTATGGACAAAATCAAAGATTGAAAACCAGGGAGTACCGGACAGCTGCTATTTCATCCTAGTATGGGAATCATCGGCAGTACGTACCCCCTGGGTTTCGACCCTAGGACCTTCCGGTTACAAGGCAAGCTGGCTCGTATACCATTCAGCCATTGGGACCCGATTCATTGGCTAGCACATGAAATCTAACTTCAACTAATTCGTGATTTTACCGCGACCCCAACCACTGTCGTTGGTGGGACATCCATCCACACACGTGACATCTAATTGGACCTCACTGGTCATGACTTCTCACTAGAACTCAGGAAACTCCAACCTGTAGCAGATCACTAGCGAGCATCAGATTAATTTTCTATAGTTTGGTTTGTATTGGTTTGTTATGTTTTTGCGAGTTGATCACGGATTGATATCAGTTAGAGAACCATTGAAAACCAGGGAGTACTAGACAGTTGCTGTTTCATCCTAGCATGGGAATCATCGGCAGTACGCGCTAAAATCCCGAATTCGTTGAAGTTAGAATTCATGAGCCATTGAATTGGGTCTCAGTGGTTGAGTGGTATACGAGCCAGCTTGCCTTGTAACCGGAAGGTCCTAGGTTCGAAGCCCAGTGGGTGCGTACTGCCGATGATTCCCATACTAGGATGAAACAGCAACTGTCCAGTACTCCCTGGTTTTCAATGGTTCTCTAACTGATATCAATCCGTGATCAACTCGTAAAAACATAACAAACCCTTGCAAACCAGACTATAGAAAATCAAAGATATTAATATCAAGGATATTGATATGATATCTCTGGACATAACATCTTTATTCACAAATGTACTTCTAATAGAAACAGGTAACTATATAGGTGAACAGGCGGATAAACACTGGCACCCATACTGAAATCCTAAAAGGTGTGTACCCTGAATGTAAACCAGCCAATTGGCTGGTGGTTGCGCTGCGTATCTCCATACTCATCAATCCAGGTGGATTTTCATGTAGCTGTCAATGAGCTACACATCGATTGTGTGAGGGTTGCTCAAATCCTTGACTATTCATGGTTTTTAGCCTGAATATCAGTGAAAACATAGCTCCACAAAACACTACTAAATAATACTAGACATTGTAATACATGTGCAAATTTCATTTGAATTTATACAGTCGTCTATAAGTGGGTGTGGGCAAGAGAAAAATCAGACGAAAACGTCAGGATCTTTTTTGTCTGATGGTAAATAGTAGTTCACTCCACGATAGGCATTTATTATGGTCTCTGGAACACGTCATCTGGATATGCCTGCCTCATTCGGAACACCACCACTCATAATGGGGGATGTAGGTACATTTGGATGATTAGTCTCACTTAGGACGAAATGAGCATCCTGATTCTGACTGCTAGTTACAAGCATCCAAAAATGAAATCGTAGGTTGATCTCCAGCCCCCGTCGACGATTCCTTATTGGGAGCTGATATTTGAAGAGAGAACGAGCATTTTGGTTGAACATAATAATTAATCAGCGGGAATATGCAAGTAAACCTTGAGAACGATAAGAAATCGATACATCTGAGCTATTTTTCAAGGTTTTCAATTATGTCACTAACATTCTGCCACAACTTTTAATTCTTAACATCTCCAAGATGTCAACCAGATGAATGGACAACATGTATTTATTTACCCAAGTGGATCCAACCCTACAATCCGACCTGATTGATGTGTTCCATGTGTGTTGGTCTGATCATAAAAGCTTCTGTTTCAACTAAATTCCACATTATCTAACGAATCTAAGCCACTTGAATCGGTGGATATCCACAGTTTTGCCATTTGACACATAGGTTGCCTATCGTATGAAGTGAAATGTGAGAAATTCCCTGGTAAATTTAAATTCATGAAGCAACTACTAATTGATTTTTCCCTCGGTCATTGGGAGATACAAGTCTGACTACCATATGACGACGGCATCAGATATCCACCGGTAAGCGTATAAATTAGTGGTCGAAACTGGAGTGAAATAACTTCCAGGACACTGGAGACTACTGTAGTCAAAAAAGCACATGGATCACTACACGTTAAGACATAAATATCCTATAAACCAGTTGAATACATTAGCACACTCTGTATTGGTAGTAGCAGTGTGATATTTATTTACTCTTTCCACGCCCCTCCTCGGTTATTCATAGGACAAAGCTGGATAGATACCTTGCGCCTTTTGAAGTTTTCCATATTCTTAACAAATACAGTAATAGGATTTCATCATGAGCTGACATTGGTTAGAGAACCATTGGAAAACTTGAGAGTACTGGACAGCTGAGAGAACAAATACTCGCCGAAGACATTGGCTAGCGGTTGGGCTATGTCGTGAGTTGGCAGAAGTTAGAATTCATGAACTGGTCATTGCGTCGGAACCCAGTGGCATAGTGGTATACCAACTCGCATTGTAACAAGAAGGTCGTGGGTCCGAACCATGGCGGTGGATGCGTACTGATAAAGAGTCCCAAACTAGGATTGGAGGGAACAGCTGTCCAGTACTCCCAGTTGGTTTTCCAATGGTTCTCTAACCAATGTTAGCTCATGATAAAATCCTGTAACCAATCAACCAAATCCCTACAAACCAACACTTGAGTAACAAAGTAATAACTAACCGCTGAGGGCAACACAACACAATCACATACCTAACAATTTCATAAACACAAATGCAGCCTCCTTTTTGCTACTAACACCTGGTGGACAGAGTTCTTCAATGCTAACTGATTCCCAATCGGGTGATGCCAGTCGATCTCGAAGATACCTAAATATTTGCAAAGGAAGAAAAAATTAAGTAAAGTATAGAAAAACATTATGAACAAGTGATCTGATTGCGCAATAGCACCAATGCTGGGACTTAAGCCCGCAGCTCTCGAATGCCTCTTGTTGATGCCAACAACTTTCTACCATAGCTAACTGTTTCCCCGGCCTGCTCTACTTAGACGAGGACACACAATGACGTCAGTGTATTTCTTTTCTCAGCTGTAGAAAAGAAGAAAGTGTTTTGTTTGTCTCCGATTCAAAGGAGATGCAGTGTCACAAAAGACTGACAAACGAATGAAAGGTGCAATACAAAGAAAGCTTCCCGGTCAAAACGTGAACGCCTGCCGTCTATGTACGACCTACCAAAAATCCATAAAGCAAATGTACCTTTAAGACCAATCTCGTCAATGACTGACTCACTATGCCACAAGCTAGCTAGATGGTTAGCTGATTCTATAGAGCCCATTCGAATTAAATATGCAACCCATAGCCTGAAGGATAGCTAGCTATCAATTTTCCAAGAAATTTGACATTACTGACATTTCAGACAAACTCATGGTATCGTATGACGTGACGTATCACTGATGGAAACAGTTGATATCATTTGTAAACAAATGGATCTACTACCATTACCGGAAACAGAGATGAAGTGACTTCTGCTGCTCTGCACAAAAGATATACAATTCAAATTCAACAATCAACCTTACCGACAAATCGATGGAGTCGCGATGGGTTCAACTCTGGGACTTATCCTGGCTGATATCTTTATGGGCTACCTTGAACAGACACAAATGAGTTCTGCTATCAATGGAACAACCTACTATCGCCGATATGTTGGCGACACATTTGTTGTTTGCAACGACATGGATCACGCATCGGCAATGTGCGATCGCCTAAATGAGACCCATCCAAATATCAAATTCACCATGGAATATGAACATTATAATGAGTTCAGTTTCCTGGATCTAAATGTAAAAAGAGCAAACGAAGGCATGATCGAAAAGTCTATCTATAGAAAAGAAACCTGGACTGGACAATATCTTCACTATAACAGCTTTTTTCCCATAAGCTATAAGCTTGGATTAGTGAAGACTTGTACGACAGAGTCAGGAAGCTATGTTCACCAAACAAGGTAGAAGAAGAATTAGATTTCGTTGAGAAATGCCTAATAGAAAATGAATAACCCAAGATATTTATCCAGAAGTATAGCAGAGGAAAAGATAAGAAGGAAAAACACCCAACTGTAGAAAAGAAAAAAGTGTTTATTTTTCTCCCATTCAAAGGAGATGCAGTGTCACAAAAGATTGACAAAAGACTGCAATGTGCAATAAAAAGAAGCTTCCTGGCGGCTAAACTTATAACATTATACAGAGCCACTTCTTCTATAAGCCATTCAAAACTGGATAAATACCCTTCTGATATCACCTCCAACTGCGTTTATAAACTTATGTGCAAGTACGAGCAAGTACACTGGAAGGACGGAAAGAAGGGCTTCTATCCGGTTTTCTGAACATATTCCAAGAAACCTATGCCTGAATGGAAGCAAATATTCTCAGAGTGCAATTACCAAACATATTGTTGATACCGGACATCTTGTAGAGATTTCTAAGTCCTTCAAAATATTAAATATACAAAGGACAGTACAATTACTACGATTTGCCAAACTAGACTTATGCATACAGAAAGAGAGTGCGATTAACTTCTCACTCCTTTGGTAACTGAATTTCGATTTTGATTACATTAATTAGTCATCTAATTAAGCGATTTCAACTCACTGAACAAATCTTAGTCTAATAAATTGTAACAACTTTTGTTTTTTGAGTTGCTATTTGAACCTACAAGCTAACACTGTTTTGTTAATCAATTTTTTCTGTTTTCTGTCATACCCCTCCACCCTCTTTTCAACTTTGAAAGCGTATAAATTGATGATGAAATCTTAAACTAAAACATTGTAATGCCTACATTTTGGTTGCCTCAGTTTTATAGTATTTCTTCTCTACTACCACTTAAACATTAAAGCATGTTATTATCATCTATATAACCATCGTAATTTCAGGTAATCTGCAGTTGATGAGGATTTGTGAAATAGGATGACGATATCGTTTCATACTGCAAATTTCGTCTCACTAACAATCCATTATAACAAATATGAAATATGGGTCTTTAAAATTGTAAAACAGGAACCAATCACTCAAGATAAGGCCAGTGTTAAGGGTTTCATAAAGTCTAGCGATGGAACCTCATCCATCAAACAACATCTAGAGAGCTTGGAGTATAAAAACGACCACAGTCTACAGCACCACAACTGGGGCATATTTGAAAATAGAAAACCAACAAGCATAAGGCAAAGTGACTTACTCCCAAATCTGTGATTTTTTATCAAAAGCATTTTCCCTTTCTTTAGGAGGTGAAGGCAAAACCTGGGAAGGAGGAGGAGCTGGGGGAGCAGCAGCAGGAATTTCTGGTTCCAGTGGGAATTCAGTTGACACTGGCACAGGAGGGATTAATTCTGAAAATATTTACAAACATATTCATCATCATTATCATCATCATCACCATGATTCACAACACTCAAGAATAAAAGTTAAAGGAAACGTGAAATGGTGACCAGTAGGGTGCAGCAGGTCGGGGTGTGTGAGGACAAATACTCGCCGAAGACATTGGCTGGGGGTCACGCTATGTCATGAATTGGCAGAAGTTAGAATTCATTGACTTACCATTGGGTTGGGTCCCAGTGGCTTAATGGTCTACGAGCTAGCTCGTTGGCCTTGTAACCAGAAGGTCCCGGGTTCGAGCCTTGTCGGTGGGTGCGTACTGATGAAGAGTCACAAACTAGGACGGGGAAACAACTGTCCAGTACTCCCCATTGGATTTCCCGTGGCTGTCTTACTAATGTGAGCTCATAATGAAATCCTGTAAACAATCAACCAAATCCCTACAAACCAACACTTGAATAAAACAAAATATGTTGAGAAAAGTGATCACAGATATTCTGTTTTATGCACGTGGAATGGTCAATGGATGATAAGAAATTTGGCTGTTGACTCACTGATAAGTGCTGGTCGAAATTCAACTGTTACATATATAATGTCACACGACACTACTATTATTATTATTGTTCTCTTGCATATGGGGCTTTAACAGCACCTCCTCACCTTGTCGTATTGTCTGCTGTCCTCTTTAGCTGGCCCTGAGACCGCCTACAGTCTCTCATCTCCTACTCGCCAAACGACTTACTCCTTGTCACCCTAAGACCAACGCTCAACTAGCCGTTTCCCATTTGGTTTCTACTCGACCGATGGCCTGGTGTGGGATATCACGCAACGGTCTCCTCAGAGTGTGCCCAGTCCATCTCTATTTCCTTCGACATATTTGCTAAGGAATAAGTTCTCGATTGGTTTCCTTCCAAAGTTTCTTGTTGCTAATTCTTTATGGTTACTCGAAATTCAACGGGGGAGCCAGCGAAGTGTGCAGTCGCTGATAAGAGTTTGAAGTAACCTGTTGGAAATGCTTCTCATGACACGCCAAGTTTCTGACACATATTGAAGAACTGACTGCACTTCACTTAACACTGATGTCTGTCCGTTTTCGACGTAGAACTTTGCACAAATGTGCGGAAGTTCAAGTCGCCACATTCCGTGTAGCACGCGAAGCAAGAGAAGAAAGTACAAGAAAAGCATAATAGAAACAGTGAGCAGAGGTGTGAGACAAAGGAGTAATAAAGAAATACAAAACAGTTTCATTGAAGATCATAAGTCACAGGGAGTAGATGCATCTGCGCCACTGAGAACGATGAGTTTGAGCCATGTCACCAATTGTTTCCAACCATAGATTTTTACCGTCCCGAGGACCCCAGCCTGAAAGTCTACACCTTTCTACGTGGCTTAGACCAACTGTTGTGGATTTCATTGACTGATGCCAAGTTTTTGCTTGACCACCGCTAGCTTTTTTCCAGCCTGACCCTATATCCGCTAACATCGCTCGTCGAGGGAGGCGATGGCTTCGCATACGTAACACATGTCCTAACCATCTCAGTCTTTGTAACTTCACGACTTCGTCGATTGATTTCCCCTGTTTACGTAGAACTCTACGCCTAACCTCCATGTTGCTCACCTTATTATGCCACTTTACACGGGAAATAGAACGCAGGCACCTATGATGTTGAAAATACGAATCTTGTTCTCCATGCTGATTGAGTGCTGGAGATTTCCAAAGTGACTTAAGAGTGATGCAGGTGTAATGTGACTTTCCAATTCTGTACTGGACACCTTTATCCCCTTCGCCTGTTGTTGTAACAAGGCTTTCTAGATAAGTGAAGGAAGTGACCTTTTCCAAATTTTCCCTGTTGATGGTGATTGGTGTTGGCTGGTTGGTCACCCTGATTACCTACGTCTTCCGTTTGTCCACTTGAAGTCACACAGTACTACTCTAAGCTATAATTTAGTATTAGTTATTGAAATGATTCAGTTAGCAAGATGCTACACCTATCCAGCGGTTACTTCCTTGCTGATGTTTTGCTCAGTAATCAGTACCTGCAACACTTATTAAACTCAGCTTAAGTCCTACATAATAAACTGGATAACTTTGTTCAATCGATTTACTCTGTTGAGTAAATACTATTTCATTTATCTTTCACGACCACAGAAGCAGTAAGAGAGAAATATCAGCGATGGTATGTATCAATGCACATCTTGCCTATGAAGTGACAGAAATATGTGAAACAAAAGGTGTATTAACGTTGGATAAGCACATAACCGTGAAGAAAGCTGCTTGAGGTTAGTTTTGGAGTTGTATTAGCATGAATATCTTACCATCGGTCATGAAATTTCACAAGGTAAGTCATGACGTACAGTGTGTTTAGTTTATGATTTCCAAACCTCCGACCCCCCCCTTCTAAGGTGGAGAGACAGTACAGATGCATTACTGTTCTTCCGAAGCGGAAGTACTTTACTACTCCTTGCCCCCTCCCCCGCCTTATTCGTCAGCAGTATTTTGCCCTCATATCTTCAGCATAGTGTAGACAACTTAGACTATTGTTGTGAGAGCAGTCTCTTAGCTAAATCGGTAGGCAGAAAATTTACGTCAATGTTTGAGTCCCAAATCTCGGTCATGAGAAAAAAAACAAGAACAAAAACTGACGCAACAACCAATAACAGCAGACTTTGCGTGGGCGGATACGACTAGCACATATATGGTATGACCTTCAAACAGACGGCCACAAAGAGTTGACGGAATAACTTCAAATGAGAAACGACCAATCAGAAGACGCTGCTTCCCCACTAATAATAACAAATATAATGTACATAAAAATCTATAAATATCTGTTGATTTTCTCAATAAACGATCTGTCGTCTAACCGTTGTCTTTTGTTGTTACATTATGATCGTAATTTCCCTCAGTCTAACGGTGGCCAGTTTAAATCACAGGGTTACCGGAATTCCCATCCATGAAGGTGCTCAAACTCTTCTGCATTTCTCATTGTTTCAATCATACATTCATATCAGATGACCACCAGATGAACTCGGGCGCTTTCTTAATTAGCCTCCCACTAAACGTTGTGCAACATCGTCTTCTTAGTGTCCAATAAATTAATAAGACTTTTTCCCCTATTCCGCTCTCTCTCAGCTGACTCAGTGCTTCTTGTCTTTCAGATATTTAATAAATAGTTATAAGTATTATATAGTTAAATACACAAATTTAGAACGTACTTTCATCTTTAAGATGTTGTTCTTCGGTTTAACCACTGAACTTTCAGTCATAGTGATGCTGAGTTCCAATGACACTGAATCCACCTTTTCTTATTCCTTTACGTTCCCGATTCAAGCTGGAGGCTTGAAGTTTCGGTGGCAGCGCTCTACATTTTTACAGGATAGGGTTGATAGCCTCATATCCAACCACCCCTCTTTGCTGGCCCTACTACTGGCTTAGCGAGGTGCACCAGCCGGTGATTGAACCACGAACCACCTGCATGGTTGTCGAGTATTCTACCACTGTGCCACCGACACATCCTTGTTTAGCCTGAAACAACTGGCTAGTAGTCATTCAACAATCCTCTTCATTGCAATATATGCGTGCCTCATAACCTGACGGTATGTATGAGTGATCTCATTCCTGTTTCATCTTAATTACTGACTGATTTTTCGTCTACCTTTTGCATGAGTGCATGCGTGTGTGCACAACTTCCACTGTGTTTCCCTAACCCGTTACGTAATGAATCACAGATCAGGATGAGAGTACACTTAAACAATAACACAGAAATTTCAGTAAAAGAGGCTACACTGATCTCCGCTTTTAAACACTAACACTGACCATTTTCATTCATTTGTATTTGTTCTTCACGTTCCTCCAGTACAGGACCTAACATTGTTGTTGATTCAAAATGATGTGATAATGATTGGACTATCGTCTGTTGTGGAGTTGATTGTGAAATAGCATTGATGTTTAGCTTTGGATGAGTTCGTGTTGTCACTTGATCAGTAGCTCCACCACCACCATCACCACCTTCAGCTACAACAGCGGCGGTACTTTGTGCAGGATCATTCAAGTTCACTAATGACTCACGAACACTAGCTGGCTAAGATAATTGAAAAAAACATTCCGACCATGAGAATTAGAAATATAAGAAGAAAAAACGTTGGTAGGAAATGGATTGCTTATAGGTTTGATCATGACTCGATATCAGTTAGAGTATCACTGGAAAATCAACTCAGGGTACTGGAAAGATGTTTCGTCCTAGGTTGGTCCTCTTCACCAGTATTCACCCACCGTCAAGGTTCAAACTTAGGACCTTCCGGTTACAAAGCAAACTCTATATAGGCAGTTACCCGGTGTTTTTAGCGAGAAGTCGTAACCAGTAGGGTTCACCAAGTCTGATAAGAGAACAGTTAGTCGCCAGTGTCATTGACTGGAGGTTGCACTATACATATCGCGATTTGGCAGAAGTTGGAATTCATAGGCTACTGGATCAGGTCCCAGTGGCTGACTGGTCTAGAAACACGCCTTGTAAAGAGTAGGTCCTGGTTTGAACGCCGATGGGTGCATCGCGTCAAATACTTTCAGGCCAGAACAAAACATATGTCTAGTACTTCTAGGCTTTCCAATGGTTCTCTAACTCATATCAACTCATGGCGAAACCTGTAATCACTGAATTATTTAGAATGAGTTCATGTAGAATGGAAATTACATCTCTGATTTGGCACTTAGGGCATCAGTCCTTCGGTGTTACAATGCCTATCAAACGCACCTCAAGTGGTCCAGGATTCGATCCTGAGTCACCGACACTCTCCTAAATCGAGTTTAGCCGGCAGTATGCCCTGTAAGGAGGGAAGGTTGGGCGTGAGGCTAGCACCCCCATCCCGTAAAAAAGAATAACACCACTAATAGTGGAACTTTATAGCTCAAATAAAGTATAAAATCTATTTGTCTAATAAAAGTGTAAGAAGCCTGAGTTTTGACGACATCAAAGGAACTTGTTGAATACATGTCAGCTATAAAATCATAGTTGTTTAGAAAATTTGGTTTTTACTCCAGAAAAGATCTGGTGTCTAGATGAGAATAAGTAATGAAACTGAAGAGCCTCAAACAAAGGAAGGAGAAAGAAGTGGATATTTTTAATGCTTCTATAACTAGTGTCATTTGATGACGACGACGTCGATATCTACCTTAAATTCGTTAAAATTCCTACAATGTAACCCCTGAACACTTCGATTTCGTCGTGGATCTCTAGTCAACAGTCAAGGATTTTATGTATTTAATGTGTAATACTTTGGATTAGTCGTCTTTCAGCCTTCTTCTACCTTAGTTGTCTGTCAAGCATCGCTGATTAAGAAGGAAGACGGAAGCTTAACATAGACTGGGTATATTCTAGCCACCTGGTTTTTTCATGATTAGATAGATAGAGAGATATTGACTACATTATCTACTGAATTCCTCTGCTTACTGAAGACTACATGCTATTTAAATACAGCAAAATAGTAATATTATGGGGAAGAGCAAGAAGCGGTCTCTCAACACATATACTCTGCTTGCAACAGTTATGCTATATGACAGTAGATATACACGCTAAAAAAGTCGTCGTGACCAGTAGGCTGCAGCAGGTCGGGTGTGAAGATAAATACTCGCCGGAGACGTTGGCTAGCAGTTGCGCTATGTCATGAATTGGCAGAAGTTAGAATTCATGGACTTACCATTGGGTTGGGTCCCAGTGGCTCAACGGTCTACGAGCTAGCTCGTTGGCCTTGTAACCAGAAGGTCCTGGGTGTGAACCCCAGTGGGTGGGCTCGTACTGCTTAAGAGTCCCAAACAAGGCTGAGGGAACAGCTGTTCAGTACTCCCCGGTGGGTTTTCCAATGGTTCTCTAACCAATATCAGCTCATGATGAAATCCTGTAAACAATCAACCAAATCCCTACAAACCAACATTTAAATCTTCAACCGTCTTTGCTGAGAAATGTCAAAAGATAGAAAACTCTACTTCACCACAATTTCTTTCCTGCTGCCAATCATGTGTATACTATAGTGTATATCTGCAGTCGTCCGATTAATGCATAAAGGACCAGTCTGCCAGTGAAGACTATTGCAGATATATAGATAAACGGATAGATGCTTTAGCACCAAATAACAACCTGCTCCTGTCCTCTTTCTTCAGTAGGTGAGTAGGATTGACAGGGGGGGTTACACACCTGGACAGCGCATCTCAAGTGGAATGATAGAAATAGACGGTAGTTTATCATCTGTGCATCGATGGTTCAATAGTAGAATGCTCACCAGCTATGCATATGATCTTAGGTTCGATTCCACACATATGCACTGCTAAATCTCGCCTAGTTTAATAAACAGTAGACTAGGTCTTGGAAAGAGGGAGGATAGCAACCTCGAGGCTTCAAAAGTCTGGAGTCCTATGTTCCCCTCAGAATGCAAAACAATGAAAATAAACCATATCATGTATATTCACATGACCGCTGCTGATGAGATACATTGGATCAGCGCTTGTGTCAGATAACTTACTTCAGTGGTAAGACGGCGAAGCAGGAATTAATTCGGACGCCCATAACTAGCCAGATGTTTTATTCCATCATCACCCACCAAACAATGTCAATAAATCTCCCCCCTCTATTAAACCATTAAAAAAACCATTTCAGAGGCTGTTACGTTACCAAATAATCAATAATGTAGGTGTAAATAAACTCGATTTTCCACTACTCACCTGATTAGTTGTTGTTACATCAATTAAAGTATTACCGGCACCACCACTGAGAAGGGATTCAGCTCTGTGTACCGATGAAGTATCTCTAGCTAATCGTTGAATTTCAACTGATGATTCATTTTCTTCTGCAATACTCGCCATCCGGCTAGATGGCCTGATGGTAGGCTGATTCAATTGGAACAAATCATCAGTGTTATGACTTATCCTATCTTCTTCGTGTAAACGACCTTGCTTCACGGCCTGTTCACAATAATGAAGACGCTGACGCCAAAGCTAAAAGAGTAACAATAATAATAAAACTATCAGTAGTATTACTAGTAATGATGATAATAACAAAAATAGGTTGACAACGGAACGTCTACACAAACATTAATTGCAGTATGGAAGTTATGTCACAAATAAAAAACTTTGATACCAATACCGGAGGTCAAAAAGAATGAATAAATCTGCGCCAGTGAGAACGACTTTGAGCTATTATTACCAACTGTCTCCAGCCATTTGTTCTTACCATCCTGAGGACCATCAACCAGGTAGCCTACACTTTCTCACGTCGCTCATGCTGACTGTCAAAGATTTCATGCACTCGTGTCGAGTTCTAAGGTGTAAGTGACTGGGAAGTAATAACCGCCTGAAAACTTCCAAAAGTATACGAAGTTCTTCTGATCCTCATTCACCTTTATCTGCGTCATTTACAACACCTTGCCTTCGGCATACTCTTAATACTACTCTGCACGCAAGTCCTTCATCTTCTTCATGGTTTCTGACCAATAGTGGCGAAGAGAACCGAAAAAATACTACCGATAATCTCTTAAAGCCGGACTGCCAACTCCATATTGGTGCAGTTAGCACGTTAGGATCCTTTGCCGAATAGGACAGTAGTCATCACAAACCAGAACTCTGAAATATCAGGCCATGGATGTTTCAAAGACTTTCTCTCATGCAGAACCCAAATGTGCTTATTCACTTAACTCCACCTGACCAAAAGGGTGAATCTGCAAATATCACACCACAGGTGTCAAGAGACTCCTCGTCTAGTTCGTGAGGACTTGTGAGTGTGGAGATATCATTAAATAATTGGTAAGAAAAATCTCTACTTGGCTGGATTCCAGTTGGTCGTTGCACGTGTGCTATCTATCAGAATGGATCTGTTAGAAGAAGGAAGAATTGCGTTGCCCACCTATGTCTTTTCATAATCTCTGCATACACACCAAACTACTGAAGTTCAGAATAAACAAAGAATGAGTTCCATCAAAAACCGTCTAGTTTCCTGAGAAAATCAAGACGCTGAGATATAATCGTTACAGCAGGCGACTTCAATGCTGCAGTGGGGAAGCTGTATCACTCTACAAAGTGTGTTGGTGTCACCTACAGACTTCTCCACCGACAAACCGACAGCGGTGAATGTCTTCTATAGTTCTGTTCAGATAATCATCTATTTCTTTCTGCCCAGCAGTAACTTCAAACACACAAAAAAGAAGATTTGTTAACTTGGCAACCTCCATTACCAAATCAATGATGGAATCGAATAAACCACATAGCGACAAGCCATCGTTCGAAGGGGTCTACGGAAAACTTTCGCTCTTTCTGGATTACATACGTAGACTCTTATCATGACCTAGTCCGTGCACTTTCAATGGACACATCTCACAGATTTAAGGCGAGAAGCAGCAGGGAACTGTTGCTCACTGTAAAAGTCTTTTGGTGGTCATCCGGATTTCAAGTCTATGCTAGAGATGATGTAAGTTGACAAATACCATACGAGCCTTTGCTATTTGTGCTGAGATTTCGTCATCAATCAGTTCATTAGGATTGATGGAATCCAGTCCTTACTTTTAAGCCAGGGGTCGGTGCAGTCCAGACATGTACCACCGCCTTAGATTTGATAGGGTTGAATCGCGTGCAAAATTCCTTGAGCGACGTTAAGAAGTCGAGAACACAATAAAATTGACTATTAACGTGTACAAAAGAGGCATGTAAAGGTGATAATAGCGAATTACTTAGAAGGAGTACAAGCAGAGAAGCAAACAGTAAGGAGTTTAAGATCTTTGTAGAATAATGAAGTTAATTAAAGGGTTCCTGTATACTTACTTACTTTACTTTACTTCGGCTATCTCCTACGGGAGGATGAGCCGGCTTCATGAACCATGAAGTTTCATGGGAATTGGGTACGAGTGATGTCCCCAGCATCGCTCGGCCTTTTGTTTGAGAGTGCAGCTCTAGCCTTTACACAACCAAGTGTGACCTACAAGGCAGTAGGAGTGGAGTAGGGAGTCCACTATCCATTGGCAGCCGGTGACCGGAGTCCGGTTCATTCGCCTTTTGAATGGGGCCAGTCATCCAGGGCATCCAATAAGCCCTTTGTCCATACGTCTGCCGGTGAGCTTCATACGCCAGTCGTTGGAGGTTTGGAATCAGGGTTTAGCCATCTCCCCTAGACTGTCATCCAATGGACAGTCAACCCGGTGAAGAGCGCCGGGCATCCGCTTTTGCCCTCTCACTTTGGTGAAAAACACCTCCGCCACGTGAAGGCAGTGAGTAGGACTTCCTCAGGAGAGGCTATGTAAGACGCCCGGTCATATGGGAGCATTTCAAGAGGTGTACGGAGGGGTGGCCAACCCGCAGCGCAAGACACCCACCCCCGACCATCCTGAGGCTTTGGAGGCGGTTCCTGTATACAGAGTCCAGTAATGAGCTGACTAGTTGCCTACATTACCACTACACATACACACAAGCGTCTAGAACGGAAAAATCCTTTTCCCACCGCTTGAACTTATTTTGTAAATAACTTATGAAGGGGATCACAGGGAGCAGCGTGGCCTGTAATTATTAGACGCTCAGCATGTTTGAAACCAGTAAAGTATTTTTATTATTTTTTTAATATTTTGATTATATCTTGATTCCACAGAGTATTTTTGGTACAAGAATGCAATTCCCAGCCCAATCTTTTAAGGAGTCAGCTTGTAGGGATTTGATTTGTTCCAAGTTTGACCTTGGAAATCTGGACAGGTGTTTCGTGTTAGTTTGGAATCATCAGCAGTATACACCCAGCACTATATTGTGAACCCAGGACCTAAAGGTTACAAGGTGAGCTCGGAGAACATCCATCCACTAGGACCAGTTCGGGAGTGAGGACAAACACTAAAAAAATTACGAATCATTAGAAATTGAAACCTATGGATTATTGAGTCAGGTCCCAGTGACTGAATGGTCTGCACACTCACCTTGTAATCGGAAGCTCCTGGGTTCGAACCCCAGTGAGTGGGTACCATTGATGAGTGGCGAACTAGGACGAAACAGCTGTCCAGTATACTTACTTCTTCTCAATAGTTCTCCAACTGATATCAATCCACGTTCAGAGGTGAAATTCGCTTATTGTTCACATAACTTCTTATTTTAATGACCAGTTTGTCATAAATCAATAAATATTGTTTACTGGAAAAATATATATTCTTTTTAAATTATGGATAAACCTACTTCTGCAAGTGCTGAACATTGCATAACTTCCAGACGACCAGGCATTGAAAATAGACGATTAACATCACGTGATACAAGATATTTGAATTGACAGCGTCGACTAGGTTCAGCCAGCAACTCACCACGTGATCGCATTGTTTCTTCCCCATGTTCCATATTATATTTCATTTCTGCTGACGATAAAGTGGTTGCTTCATCAATGATCAATCCTCGGGGGAATTTTCGTCTCATTTTTCTTCTATTCCGTATAACTTTATTAGTAGGTGGTGGTGGTAATGGACTTAAATGAAAGGGTGGAAATGCTTGTTGCACTTCAGTTGGCTGTTGCTCAACCGTATTATTACCACTGGGCTGTCTGTTCCAGAAATGAGCAAAAAAATAAAGAGTTAACCAATAAAGAAAGGGAGTAAGCACAGAAGATTATCATGTCTAAAAAGAGGGACAACTTGAAGCTTCAAGATTAAACTATACAGTTAGGAGGATACAATCACACATCAAAAACATATTCATCTAGGTTATGAAATCTTTTCCATTATTTCACAGGAACTGACACAGAAGCACTATGATTCCTAACAAATTGATGAATAGAATAATCACCGTTCAGAATGACTAGAAGTGTGATATACAAGGAGTATTATTATTTATTATTATTGTTTCCTTTAATTCCTAGGGGAACATAGCGCTTCAGCAGCGTGTCTCCATTGCGTTCGGTTTTCTGCTAAAGTTTTCACCTGATTCCACGTCTGCCCACATATGCTTTCATCTCCTCTTCACATCACCTCCTACAAGTCACCCTTGCACTGACGACCAACTCACCGCTTCGCGTTCGGGTTCCACTCGAGCGATGGCCTAGCGTGTGATGTCACTTGATGGCTTCGTCAGAGTATGACCAATCCATCTCCATTCCTTCCTGCCTATTTGTTGCGCAATCAGTTCCTTTTGGGTTGATTCGCTCCAAGAGATCCCTGTTGCTGATCTTTTCTGACCGGCCATCTGATCTTGAGCGGAGTATTGAGCGAAGACAGCTGTTGATGGAGGTCTGTAGTTCGTTTCAGATGCTCCTTATGACGCGCCAAGTCTCTGATCCGTATAGTAAGTGGCACTAACTTCACATTGGAGTTGAAAATCCGGATCTTTTTTCGGTGCTGAGTGCTGTTGACCTCCACACAGACTTGAGAGTAGTGAAAGCTTGTCTTGCTTTCCGATCCTTGCTTTGATATCTTCATCGGTTCCGCCTATAGTTGAAACGATACTTCCCAGGTGGGTAGGTAAAAGAAGGTTGTTTCTTTCAGATTCCTCCCATTTATACTGGCTGATTGTTGTCTGTTGTCGTTGCTGTCGCTTTTGGCCAGGAATCTTCATCACGTCTGTCTTATCTATGTTCACCTGAAGGCCTATATTCTCTGGATGCTACTTCTTCCAACTTGTTGCTTTTCACTTTCATATCTTCCAGTTTGTGGGAAATCAGACATATGTCATCATCGGCGAAGTCCAGATCCTCCAAGTTATTGTGTGGGTCAATTTTGTGCCTGTTTCCTTATTACCTGTTGTCTGTCGCATTATCCAATCTACTGCAATCAGGAAGATCATTGGCGATAATAGACAGCCTTGCCTCACTCCCGTCCTTACTTCGAAGGCTTCCGTAAGTTTCCCGTCGCGGATTACTTGGCATGCAGAGTTGTCGTATAACTGTTGGATGAGATGTATAATTGTCGATGGCACCCCGTAGTAGCGAAGTAGTTTCCGAACCACCTCTCGATTGACGCGGTCGAACGCCTTTTCAAAGTCAATGAATTTGAGTGAGGTAGAAAGATGACTGCCAATCCAAACTTTGTTCAGTGATGATCCGTAGTGTAGCAATTTGATCAATACATGACTTGTTTTTCCTGAATCCAGCTTGTTCCGGTCGAAGTTTTTCATCCAAGGCAGCGTGTTTGATTCTCTCCAGGATGGTGCGGCTTAGTATTTTGCTTGGGATGGACAGGAGCATAATTTCACGCCTGTTCTTGTATTGACTTAAGTCTTCTTTCTTTGGTAGTTTGATTAAGTATGCTTTCTTTCAATCCTCGGGTACTTTGCCTACAAGTAGGTTATGGTTATTTTCAGTTTCAGGAATAAGATGCGTGTGTCTGTGTGCGTTAAGCATACATGATCTCCTTTGATATTTCAGATTTTACTCTGTGTGTGGTTATCACGAAAGTCGGATTCAAGAATCGCTGCTAGTAAGTGTACACCAATGTCAATGGAAGTCAAGAGGGTGTGTGGAATTATCACCTAATATGTAGTTCAGTGGCAATAATTCAATCGAAAGTTTACCCTAAGAGTAATTTTTCTTCAGTATTCTTATGACACAAATACAAATTGCTTTGCTCTGATCACGAGTTCAAATCAGTTAGAGAACCATCGGAAAACCTGGGAGTACTGGAAAGCTGTTTCGTCTTGGTTCGGGAGTCTTCACAGGGCTCACCCACCCAGGTTTAATATATTTATTGCGAACTGGAAAACTTCGGAGTTCATGAGCCATTGGATAGGGTTATGGTGGTTGAATAGTCAACGAACCCGCCTTGTAACCTGAAAGTCCTAGGTTCCGACCATAGTAGGTGCACCTTTCTGAACAGTCCAAAGCTAAGACGAAACAGCTAGCTGTTAAATACTCCCAGGTTTTCCGATGGTTTAGAAACTGAAATCAGCTCGTATCCAGAACTGTAAGCCATCAAATTCCTGTAAACTAACATATATCCTTAAATTTAAAATGAATTCTCATGTTTCATATTGCCAAACTTCATATAGCACACAAAAACGTGTAAACAGAAAATAGACTACACTAAAGAGCAGTCTGTTGATTATAGGATAATTACTTGAGGAATAATAAAGATTTAATGGGTCCGGGCCCTGTGTGTCGGTGGCACAGCGGTAGAATGCTCACCAACCACGTCTCATATGGCCCGTGGTACGATCCCCGGCCACTGACGCACTCCTTTACCTCGCTAAGCCAATAGTAAGACTGGTAAAGAGGGAAGGTTGAGCATGAGGTTAGCAACCCCATCCCGTAAAAATAAACACCACTGCTACTGAAACTTGAAGGCTCTAGCCTGAAGCCCTGTGTTCCACTGGGAACGTAAAGGAATAAAAACGAAATGGGTCCGGGAATCACACAAAGAGTGGATGTATTTCTGCCACATCATCAACATTCTCTAGCCACACACCTTCCCATTTGGATCTAACCAAAAGTCAATGGTTCTGATTTGATCACCCTTAAATCTTTGCCAAACTAATCCGACGTCAGTTAACATTGTTCCATGAGGAAAGCTTTGGCTTGGCACGAGTAAAATATGTTCTAATCATCTCACTAGTTGCAGCTTCACACAATCTCATCGATCAGTTTTTTCTCCTTACCTAACACCTTCTGCTTAACCTTAATTCACTGGGCATATTATACAATCTCTCTAACACGAGACACCTGTTGCCAAACACCGCTAACTGTGTTCAGGAATCGCCCTTTCAGATGGCATGTTTCACAGCCGTTAAAAAAAAGGACGGGACATATTTCTTGGTATACATTTACAGGAATAAGCCTTGTTTAAGTTAAAAGAAAGATAAGGCAGTATATAACTGAATACATGGACTAACCTTTCTCTGCCTTGAGGTATAATCTGAGTTTCATTCAATTCTCCCAACATACCTGAGCTTAATTCAAATCGTTCCACTGTAACACTAGTCTCCTGAACATTTTCCAATAAACACGAATCAATTCGTACTTCAGTGCTTGTTGATACAGGAGGCTGAGGATAGAGGAGAGCAGTAAGAAGAAAGAACACAATTTCGCAATTGTCACAATCGATTCTGGTACAGAAGAAAAACAGGATCGTTTTTTATGACTACTGTTGCGTGTGCTACTCATAAGGTTTATCAGTAGTATATAAAGAGACGTTCGTCGATATAAAAAAATCAAGCAGCAGGGAGATAGATTTGGTGTTAGAGAAAGTAAATGGTGTAGCGCTGCGGAGATACATGGGAGACGTGAAAGGAACACAAAGAAACACGAAATGGAGGCGAGAAGTATCACAACACAGGAGATCTGTACAAAGGGTGCTTTGATGATAAAATGTTACATAATTTCGCTATATCCAGACACTAAATCCCGCGTATGCATTCCTTAAATAATACCAACTTAGATACATTTTATTACTATTATTATTGTTCCCCTTAGTTAACGAGTAGAACATTGGGGTTCACCACCACGTTTCCACTTTATTCTGTCCTCAGCAGTTCTATTCAGCTGGCCCTACAATTGCCTATGACCTCTTGTCTTCTCCTTGCACAATGACTTCCATATCACCCTTGAAGGAACACCCAATTCGCCGTTTCCCATGCGGGTTCCATATGAGCAATGGCCTGGTGCTTGACGTTATTCGACGGTCTTCTCAGCGTATGGCCATTCCATCTCCACTTACTTCGGAGTATTTGGTGAGCAACATATTCTTGGTTCGTTGGTTTGTTCCCATAGTTTCTTGTTGTTGTCAATTCTTTCTGGACATTTGATCTCCAATATGGAACCAGAAAAGGCAGCTGTTGATGAAAGTTTGCGGTGTCTTGATGGTAATGCTTTTCGTGACGGGCGATGTATGCTTGTGGCCTATATAAAAAAACTGACTTAACGATAGTACTGAAAATCAAAATATTGTCCTAACTGAGTTTATATATTTGCGGATGGTGGCTAGCAGTGGAATTCAGGATGCGCATTTCGTCCTATTTGAGGCTCGCTAGCTGGATGTACCTGCATTTCCCATTGAGTGATGATGTTGCCACCGAGGCTTGAACCCAGTGACCATAGTTTCAAACGCCAAAGCGTTAATATATGTTTATATAATCCCAATATTTTAGGTAAGGCAATAAAAATTATTCACAATATATTCTCCAATAGTCAGTAAAAAATAAGGGTAAATAAGGTCAAAATTAATTATTATATCTATCCAGAATTATTTTAGACAAATTTGCAACTGTTGATTAGTGATACTGAAGAAAGTCTTGCGTACTTACAGAAGTGTACCGGCGGTTATTCCATCTCGGCTGCCTACACCATGGAAGTTGGCTTCTCTTCCAAATACCTCAAAATGGAGTGTGTTTTGGTGTTCCGCGAGCATAGGGACCAAGGGACAACTGCTTGTGAACCCAGTCACACACACACCCATTGTATTTCAGATGGCTTTTGAAGTTGTGTCTATGTAAAGAACTTATCACCGGCTACGGATTGCTTAAGAGTATTTGGGGTCACGTGGTACGCATGCCAAGTCAACACCTTACCCGCTTAGTAGTGTTCCTTTGCTTACGATTAGATTGGAAGAGAGTTAAGGGTGGTAAGACAAAACCCTGACTATTGGTTTAAGTCACGTAGAGATGTGTAGACAGATCGACTGTTGTCCGTGAGACGCTAAGTACCGCATTACTGGAGACTTTTGGTGATATGGCTAAAAACTGTAGAAATGGTACAGATGCATTCACACTTTTTCATCACCAAGACTCACTTAATCCCCAATATTTTCTATGCGACTATTTCTTCTCTTATAAACTTGTGTTTATTGTAGTTGCTTTGCCTTTCGCTTCTCCTGAAATTAGAATGCTCACACCGCGGTTACAGTACATGTATACTTAGACCTACGGTTCAGTACAAGTGCAGAAAACGTTGGCTTTTAGAATGCAGATAACTGTAAACGACAATTCACGGGGAGCTGAATAACCTGATTCTAGAAAGTAATCACAAATTGATGAATTCGTCTTCTTATAGCTCACCTTTCATCATTAACCCAACTGGCTAGTGTTCAGCTGTGCATAAACGGAAAACACGCTTCAATGTAACCAGCTTCATACGAGCATGTGAGAATGAGTGCATACACATAGAGGTGGACATAAGTGGTAGTTTATCTTTAATCCACTGTTGTATCATATTTCGGCTGGTAAATACTAAATTTAAGTCAGCTGCATACAAAGAACGTTTAACACATCCCGATAAGAAGTGAGAAGTCGTGATCAGTAGGGTGCAGCAGGTCGGGTGTGAAGACAAATATTCGCCGAATACATTGGCTAGGGGTCGCACTATGTCGTAAAATGGCAGAAGTTAGAATTCATGGACTGGCCATTGGATCGGGTCCCAGTGGCTCAACGGTCTACGAGCTAGCTCGTTGGCCTTGTAACCAGAAGGTTCTGGGTTCGAACTCTAGTGTTGGGTGCGTACTGCTTTAGAGTCCCAAACAAGGCTGAGGAAACAGCTGTTCAGTACTCCTTGGTGGGTTTTCCAATGGTTCTCTAACCAATATCAGCTCATGATGAAATCCTGTAACCAATCAAATCCCTGAAAACCAACACTTGAACATCTAGATAAGCTACTTTTAGTCACTTCATCAATAGTATATAACCTTTGAGTGTCAAAATCATAAACAATGTCTTCTTCCCCACACTGTGATTTGGCTAAAGACGATTACTTTCTTGTTCTTTCTTTCAATAAATCTTGTAGGACATCTATTACTTAAGAGAGTTGTGTGAAGGTTTTCTATTTCTGCGCATCAACTGTATCTATGAACCGGATTTTCTGGACTCTGGAGCATAGGGAACGGATGAGATTTCGCGTTGGTAGCCTGCCCAGATCACTGAGCTACCCAAAGTTTCTGTGTATCAAAACGCATTTTACTTACTCCGTTTCATATTGCTTCAATTGTTGAATTCTCCCCAATTCTATGTGTATCTACCAGTTTGACTTCAGCTGCAAAGCCAGCTACAGTGTACGTGCAATTAGGCAGGTTCATCATCGTACTTCCGAACATCATCCAATATGATTAAGCAAGGGACAAACAAGATCTATTCGTAGCTCTATTTTAGCACACCTTGTAGATAGTGAACATAAGGTTGATGTTAATACTGCATTTAAAATTATCTATCTCATTCAGACTAAGCTTAATTTTGCTCTACGAGTTCGTCTTCTACTAAAGACAGCTGAAGCAATACGAATTCACCTGAAAAAGCCAAACCTATGTGTTCAGAAGAAATTTGTACAGCCACTTTCCTTACCGTGGGGGTCGTTACATGAATGCGTAAACCGGACTACTTCAGCCCCCCTCCCCCTAAACCTTTAAAAATTGTAATTGTCCAAATTATTTTATTTTTTTATTTATTTTGACCACTTCATCTTTAATTTACGTGTTATCCTGGTAAAATTTAATTTATTCTAACCATTTCTACCTTTCAATAGTGTGTATTGATTTTCTTCGTTAATTATCACCCCACTGTTTAACATGTTGACACTGACTGATAATTGTTAACAAACATATCAGTACCACTTGATTGGTAAACTGTTGTGTATTGTTATAAAAGTGCTATGAATATATATATTAGAGTAGAGCCAGAGTGAGATGAGGATCTAATTAAAAAGTAAATATTTCTTCGCTCGCTCAATCTTTCTGTTTTCTCCACAATGATTTGTAATCTTTACTTGCGCACAATCTCAAATAATCTTCTATGTATCCTTAAGAATTTTCGAAGGAAATAAAGTAAGAACATGCCTCTGATGGAAAAAATATTGCTTCAGACGAAATATTATATCAGTTATCAGATTATTTGAAGATTATCCATAAGAAGGAAATACCTTGCTATGTAAGTCGTTTCTAAATGCACCTTTCAGAGTAAAGCTATAATATTTTTTTGTATTGTAATTATATATTTTGTTATATTCATGAAGTATCTCATTCCACACATTTAATATTTCCATTTAGACATTTTTTCAACTACGGATATGAAGCAGTGCATTTATAAATTTAATTGCTTTTCTAGGGAGACATTTACATAGGTAGAATGAGTTGTCATCGTCGCTCACCGTCGTCTTCTTAGGCACTGTCCAACGTGTTTAGGTAAAGAAGGCGTAAAGTTACTCGGAAGTCCAGTATTGGCAGGATACGCAGTACAAGAGACTGGTACAAATTCCTCCTTTACAATTCGCTACAAAGTGCAGCAAAACTTCCCTATGGTTGTAAGCCTTCGAATGCTAAACACACCTCAGGCATAACTCCATTATGGATAAGATTTTATTTTGATAAATCACACAGTGTTCGTTGTACAGTAATATTAACTGATGATCACGTTTCGAGCACAAACTATTGCTGCTCACAATCATATCAAGTCACTCACTCACACAACTTTTTCCTTCATTTATATACACGTGTGGAATTGACTAGATATTTAAATAAAAATCCATGTAGGATAATGTACATTCGAAATAATAATAATATGAGTGTTATTGATCAATTACAAGAAGATGGGAATATTAGACGAGTGCTTTTATAGTCATAATAAGTTACTTGTTATAATGTTATGATGTACGTGAATGGAAATAGAATTTTAAGATTATTTATTATCCTCTTCTGATTTGACGGTAATACTATCTTCCATATTTCTGGTATTTGCATTGAGTCATTTCTGTTGCATTTGTTGGGTCTAGACTCGATGAACAAGGGTTCCGTAATCAACCTCTCTCTCCACCTACATAGATTACATCTTAGAATCTTAACCCTCTCCCACCATGCTATTGTGTGGTTGTGTGTTAATGCGTGAAGTGCAATTGCTGAGCTTTTTTCTAAATTACTTATCTTCTCGGGGTATGACATGATTATGAGTGGCAATAATTTGTGCTCGAAACGTGGTCATCAGGTAATATTACTGTGTAACACTGTGTGACTTATCAAAATAAAATCTTATCCATAATGGAATTACATTCTACCATAGTGCCCAAGTTTTA